GGGGGCGAGACTCTCCCGAGCCGGAGGGAAAAGGCGGGTCTCCGGCTTGTTTTGATTCGGCTGCGCTGACACGCTCTGGGCCCGCCCCCTCCCGTGACGACACTGGGGATTCGGCCTGGTCACGCCCACCAGGTGACCTCACGGCACACCGGCCCGCCCGCGTGACGTCACGCCCCGCGCGGAGCCGGCCCACCAGCGAGTGACGTCATCCTAGGGCCCTCACTCCCGGCCTCCCGAGCTCCGCGGTGCGCTAACTGCGGTTCCCGAGACGCCCCGAAGGCTGGGACGATGGCATCTGAAACTATTCTGTGTTCTCCCGACCCTGGTGTAACTAAAGCTGAGAATAGGATTGTCTAAAAAAATGAGCAAGGGACTAGAACAGAGATGGGAAACAAAGGATTTTAGATTAATGATCTACCGAAAGCTTTTATTATTCATTGACAGTTTTAAATTCTGCACGGAAATAGGGCCGAGTTCCTAGATAATGAATGGGAAGGCTTCACCGTGCAGTGGTGAAACAGCTCATTCGCACAGGACCGACGCCCAGGGAAGTGGCTAAATGTTGCCTGCGACTATGAAACAGATCCTGCCTGGCGAAAATTCAGCCCCTGCGGATGGCACCGAGTTGTCCTGGAAAATAGGTGGCCACGTGATTGTGGCAAGCTGGAGGAGACTGGAAGGTGACACCTGTGAAGACAGAGAAGCCCTGGGAAAAGTTTCATATGGTCCGTTTTTCTTTATCTCTAGTCTGCCTCTTCCCAGGCCAACTCCTTCATGCTCAAATATAGCTCTTTCTTCAGGTAATACTTACCGCAGAGACACTTTCCCAGAAGTGCCACCAGAAGCATCACCCTGTTTCCCTGTCCATCTTTAATATTGTTAGTCATGTGCATGTTCGCTTCTTGTCTGTTGCTCACTCAAGTGAAATCTCCATACATAGGAGGTTTTATCTGTCTTGGACACTTCATGGGAAAGCTACATACATTTCGAATGTATAAAGTTAAGAACTATGAAGGAAAGGCTAATAGTTCATCTTTCGGTTTTACAGCGCCTCTTCCCCCCCTTGTGGTGTAATCTTTAGTTAAGCCAGGTCTCTGTAAAGTCTGTAGCTGTGTTGTGAGGCACAGAGACATCTGGGGAAGTATGGGAAAGAATTCCCTCTGTACACTCACTGATTGAGGGGCTTCTGAGTGGGAGTCACGGCACATAGCAGAGCTCTAGGAAAGCCTGGAGCAGCAGAAGAGAGCGTTGAACATTAGGGAACAATTGCTGGTGGACTTTTTTAGGAGAGAAAATAAGAACCTTTTATTAATTCCTCAAACATGAGCAGTAAGTGACACTTGGAGACCCCTATTGATAGACTGATACATACACAGGTAGCTATATCAATAGATAATTTTGCACCTATATTTTCATGTCTGTTTACACACACAGACACATGCTGTAAGCACTAGAACAGGAATAGTATTTCTGCCGAACTCTGAAGTCTAACATAAAGCCTTACTCATAGTCAATGTTGAAAAACATACATTGATTAAGAGTATACCTAACTCTCCTTCTGGTTGCATTTTGTTGAATCTTAATATCTCAGCTAAATCATCAGTTCTTAAGGAAGTCTTTGACAGCCCAAAGTTAGGCTTGTCCCCATTGAATTCCACGCAGCTTCCTTACCACAGCAGCCTGCACACACAGTTGAAATTGCCTGTGACTTGTCTCTTGTCTGGGACCCCACTAGACTGGAAAATTTGTGATGGTAGAAACTGTCTGTCTTCCTCATCATTGTATCTTGTGTCTACCATGGTGCATGATACACAGTAGGTGTTTAATAAATGCATGACAAGCACATGAATAAATGAATGGGCAAGTGCTTTGGAGGTTGATGCAGCAGGATTTGGTGACCACTGGGACATGAAGGATGAAGGTAAGTGTGGAGAAAACTGGGGTTAGACTGTAATCTTTAGCGTTGACATACATAGGGTTCTGGGTTCATATTTAGAGATGTCTGAGTATACTTGACAAGCATGTGCCTAGGGCTGGCTGAGGCTGGGAGTGGATCACAGCATAGGGACCCTCTGGGGATTTTCTCTCTCCCGCTTCTCTCCCATCTCTTATCTTTCTCATTCATGGAAGAAATAAGTACACGTTAAAAAAAATTAATTAAAAATAAAAAGAGCCAGGCATAGTCACATGCCCCTGTAGTCCCAGCTGGGAGTGAGAGGCTGAGGTAGGAGAATCTTGACAGCAAGATCCTGTCTTTAAAAAAAAATAATAAATGACATTAGATATCTCTTCAAAATAGGAAATTCTGAAAAACAGAGGAAATGATGATGGAGGTTAATTAAATGGAGACTTTAGGGAAAGGACAGTGGAGTTGCAGAGGAAGATAATGACTTAATGTTGCCCATTCAGACTTAGCTTCAGTTTATTACCAATATGCCTCAGTAGAGGTGGCTGGCTGAGAGATCTCAAAATATTTTGGCCTTATTTTTTTTTTTTCATATTCTTTTGTTTTTAAAGTGGAGAAGGTGAAGTTTCAGGCTAGAAATACAGGCAAACTGAGATAATTATTTTCTTGAATAAGCACACTGTTGTTGCCATATTGATCAAAGTAAATATGCATGTACCCTGCAGACAGACATTTATACCAGCTGCCTCCCACCTCTACATAACTGAGACTTCAGAACTGGAAACTTTCCCACAAAAATATCATGATTGGCTCAGAGCACACAGACACCCAGCCAGTTGCTGTTCTGGTTAATTGTGTGAGCCACCTCCTCATTCAAATTGAAACAAAACGAAAAGGAGGAAGTAGAAGCTGGGCTACTTCTTCCCCAGCTTCAACCATGCTAATCTATTTTTAGTCTTAGCCAACTTTGCACTGAGGCAATAGTTCCGATTTTGATATAAACACAGTATACTAGAATCAAGGTGTTAAAAACAAAATTTAAGAGAAGTTAAAAGACTATTTCCTACTTCTATACATGTGGAATTCCACAGGACTCCTGCTGTCTCTTTTATCTTTCCTTTTTTTCCCTACCATTGCTGAAGGTGAGAGAAAACCTACAGAAAGAGCAAAAGATGTCTGACAGTAAGACAAAGCTCTCCCATTAGACGCTTCCAGAAGGAAATATGAACAGCTCCAGGAAACTGAGGAAGCTGCCGCACTCTGCACATCGACATTTGGATTCTCATCCTTTAATTTCCCTGATCAATTATTATGGTCTGAAATAAACTTCAAAAAACTTATATAATTCATCTGGGCCAGATTTTCTTCTCCCAAACTTCACAGCTCTATCACCCAGTTCTCTGCAAAAGTAAAACGCAGTAACAACTCAAGGCCCTAAAAGATAAACAATTTATACCCTTGAAAAAAAGGTTGGATTAGAACAAGTGGTTGTTGTTTCGATGTTCCAGTTATGTATGTTTGTCTGACATTTCGTTCCTGTTTTCTTAGCTCTCAGGGTCAGATACCTTTGGGCTAGGGTTACAATATATGTGTTAAGTATACTTAAAGACATGGTGCAGGAGGTGAAAAGTGGAGCATCAAAGTGCAGCTTGATCCACGAATCATACTGGAAGGCATAAGGAATTCCAGAGCTAACCCAGTAATGCACACAAGGGTACGACCCCAGCTGAAACATAACCTAAAAGGTGTGTGAGTTTGCAACTGAAATTTCTTTTGCCAGTGTTTTCTGAATGAACTGAATAAAAACTTCTGTTGTAAAAAATAAATAAATAAATAACACTGATATGCAGTGTATTTATGAGGGGAAAATTCATTTCATATGATGCAATAATACACAGTGATTGAATGTAAAAAAAAAAATTTAAATAATAATAATAAACAAATAATGCTAAAGCCCAGTCTGCTAAAAAAAATCACTTCAAGTAAATATACCTTTTATAATGTATATTCTCTCTTTCATTAATTTCTTCTGGAAATTGCCTCTCCTATGCTCATAGATTTTTCTTTGAGAAACAGTGAGTATTGTGGTTATAAAAACTTTTAAAACAATAGGGAACCAGCAGTTAGCGTAATGGCTATGTCGCTGGACTCCCACGTAGTCAGTCGACCGCGGTTCGTGTCCCGGACCCGGTGGCTTAAAACTCACACCGGGCACGTGTGCGTGCGTGCCCAAGATCCCGAGAGGAGAATGGAGGAGAAGGGATTGCGGCGTGACCATCCCCCCTGGGGGGTGATTTCTCGCTTTCTGTCTCTATGTCTCTCTCTCTCTGTCTGTCTGGCGAGCGCACGCACCCTACAGTGAAAATCTCTCCAAAAAAAAAAAAAACAAACAAACTTTTAAAACAATAGAATATTAACAAATAACATCAATTACTAAATGCCATAGATCTGCTCTCTCATTTAGCTGTTCCCAACTATTAATATTTTTCTTGGGTTGGCTTCATAGCCTAGTGGTTAAGGAAGCTGAATCTCTTGGAAGATCTGGCAATTTCTTTTCTCAAATGTTCACCCTAAAAATCTCTTTTTAATCCTATAGTTATGATTTTTTTACATTATTTCCATACTCCAAAAAACCGGTCATAAAAAGGGTCAGAATTCTCTTTTCAGTGATCCCTAAACTTAAACTTCCTTTCTCCAGCCCATGTAATAGGGCAGTTCCTTCCATGGATAGGTTGAGAGGCCAGACAATGGCACAACAGGAGGATGTAATTAATGCTCTCTGAAGCCATGGCACGTGGGAAGGTCTCCTATTCAAGTTTAAGAAACCTCCCTGAGTCCAGCGCTGGCAGAGGGCTGGGGGTGGGTGATGTGTCTCTCACTGGCTCTGTCTCTCCCACTTATGGAAAAAATAAACTTTTATTAAAAAAAAGAGAGTTAGGTGTAATCTTTTCTAAGACAGACTTCCTCCTACTCCACACTTGCTCATTTACTGCACTCCTCCCCATAGTCGCCACCTGGCTACACCAATGTTTTCCAAATTGTGGGTCATATTCCACTAACAGGTTGGAAATCAATCTAGAGGGTTTCTATCACCATTATTTTTGAAAATGTAAATGAAACAGGACATTCCAAAGTGCATTGCCTATAGAAATTAAGTATTGTTTTATAAAATATGTTATGTTTTGAAATTTAGGCTATATACACACATACACAAAATGACACATGTACACATATATGTGCATGAATATATCTACTGAACTGTGATGTAAAATTCATCTCATTCCTCACTGTGGATAAAAGGCAAACAAAAAAAGAAGAAGAAAGGTACTTGCTATACTATGTCATGAAGTATTTTATTTTATAGATTTACCTTGTCACCTCAGGGAGAGCATTTTATCTACCCCAAATATTTTTAATTTCTCTGAAGACTGATATCATATCTTTCTTTATTCAAAAGAATAATTTAATTTTATTTATTATTATTTTTCAAAGTTTTTGCTGTAGGGCACATGGACTCACCAGAGACAGAGAGAAAAAGAGAGGGAAAGTGAGAAAACAAGCTGCCAGATCCAGGCCTCGAACTGGGTCAGTCATGTGGGAGTCCAGCACCTTAACCACCATGTTACCTACTGGCCCGAAATCATATCTTTCAACTTTTATCTATGAACCTGTAATTAAAAATAATTGGCTTGCATATTTTATGCACATGCCAAAATGTACAAACCAAACTCAACGACCTTAAATTCTAATAGAGGACAGAGGTGAAGGGGTACAATATAAACACCTATGAAACAAATGAAAATCTGAAATATTGTGGCATTGGAAAGCAGCTGAAAGAGAAAGAAGAAATTGGCAGTTTTGTTGAAAGGGATCTTAAAAAAAAGAAAGAAAAAAATACTAGTGACCAAAAGGAATATTCAAATTTACCTTGAAAATATATTTTGTTTTCATCCTTTTAGAGCAGGACCACATTGTTGCCTAATTCTAAAACCAAACAAAAAAGAAAAGCAACTGTTAACCTGAAAGTAAAAAAAAAATATATATATACTTATGTGTTCATTGTATTCTGTACTGTTCAGTTTTGGAGGGAGGAGATCCCTTGAAAACGAAGGGGTCAGTGGAGGGGGGAATCATCAAAGTCTTCATAGAAAGCCTTTTAAGAAAGTATAAAAGCGTACCCAAAGTCCCAAGAAAATTATGGAAGACAAGAGATTGGGACTTGACCATCCCCCCTGAGGGGTAACTACTCAGTTTATCTGCTTCTCTGACGAGTGCTGTGCTCTACAGCAAAAATCTCTCTTAAAAAAAGATATGAAAGCGGGACCAGCAGTTAGCACAATGGCTATGTTGCTGGACTCCCACGTAGTCGACCACGGTTCACATCCCGGACCCAGTGGCTTAAAACTCACGCCGGGCGCGTGTGCATGCGTGCCCAAGATCCCGAGAGGAGAATGGAGGAGAAAGGATTGCGGCGTGACCATCCCCCCTGGGGGTGATTTCTCGTTTTCTGTCTCTCTGTCTCTCTCTGTTAGTCTGAGGAGCACACGCGCCCTATAGCGAAAAACCTCTCCAAAAAAAAAAAAAAAAAGATATGAAAGCAAGAATCAGTATAGCACATAGAGAGTAGAAAAAAAGAAGCCCTAGGGACTTGAGAAACCATCAGATCGTGACGGGAAATGCTACTGTGAACACACAGCTGGTTATACTCCACACCTGCCCCCTCCTTGGCTCCTTTCTCAACAGTACTTAATTCCTACACTCTATATTTTACATTTTTATTACTATATGATGTTTTATTTTTATGGTTTTTTGTTTGTTTGTTTGTTTGTTTTTACTTTGCTTACTGTCTATCCTTCCCCACTGGAATGAAAGTGTCTCTGTTGAATTTTCAGTGCCTAAAACATGCCTGGCCATATATAAGGGGACTTCTAAAAGTTCCTAGAAAAATAGAAATTAAAGTATGAGTTTATTTTGGTGCAAAAAATGTGAAATGCATGCATAGGTTTTTTTTTTTTTTCATCCTAAGTTGTTTATTAGGTATGAATTTTACAAACATTTCTTAGATTAGCAGTAATGGTGAAGCTGGAGAGTTGTGTGCCTTCTCCAAGCTGAGTGGTGAGAGCCACCAATAGTGTAGTGGAACTCGTGGCCCTTTCCAAGACTTTGGCTTTTGCGACCTGCAGATGTCAGCTCAGGCATCTCCCTGTGCTGCGGACTGGTTTGGTAATCCACCGGGTGTCAGGGTTTCTTCTGATAACTTTATGGAGTGAATCAATGAGTATAACCTCCAAGAATGTGTATGTGGAATCTTCACCCACCCAGTAAGAGTTCTGGACTCTAAGAGCCCCACAGTGGGGTCCAGCTTGCTTCTCTGCAACAGACGGGAGGCTTCAAGCAAACTTCAGCTGGTTAACACCATGATGGACAGGCTCGCCATAGGTTGTACCCTTGGGGACTGGACATTTGTGGCCTCCACGTCGCACACGAATCCTATATATGACATAACCTCACTTAGCTTTTTATCCCGTCTGCGTGCTTTATCCAGCTAGGTGGGGGGCGGGGAGCACTGTCAGCAGCAGACCCTCAGAAGAAAGCACATCACATTGGACGGCTTCATCCTCCACAGCTCCCCTATATACTTGTATGCACTCATCTTGGCTTACCTAATGGCTGCCACCAGACCAAAAGGCAACATGCATAGATTTTTTTTTTTATAATGCACCCTTTCTGTGAGCTGTATTGCAGGCCCCATTGTAGTAAGTGTTCAATACATATTTGTGGAATAAAAAAGCATATAGTGGAGTACCCAATGAGAATAATCAAACCAGACCACAAGATTTAGCAAAAAGGAAACATTTTAAAACCACATTTCTCCAGAGATATAACACCCGTCCCCTAGAGCTAGCATAATTGAACAAAAGGAGATGAATTTCTTCAAGGCTAAGTTTGAATAGCAAGGAGCCACAGGAACAATATCTTCCTCAGTAGTTGCAGTGACCATGGGAATATCAGTCTCTACACCTGTATTTCTGATGTAGCCTCTGGAAATGGCACTGAAGAACCAAATATCTTTTTAAAGAATTGTTTATTTAATTTAATTTTATTTGTTGTTATTATTATTTTTTTTAATTTGACCAGAGAGAGAAAGCAAGTTGCCCAGGTGTGGGATTTGAACTGCAGTTAGCTATATGGGAGTCCAGTGCCCTTAACTACCATGCCACCTGCTGGCCCTGAAAAAAACAAATATTTTTGTCAACTAGATTTTATCCTGGAGATCCTGTTTCTCCCCAATTAAATTAGTATTTTTCTCTACTTTTTAAAAATTTTTTATTCTATTTATGATAGAGAGCTTGTGCATGCACACACAAGAAAGAGCGTTACCCCTGGTGGGGGGTCTCACACACCATGGTCCCTTTCTCTAACCTTCTGATTCATCCAGATCCTGGATTTGCGCGGGCATCCCAATGTTGTCGGTTGCCTGGAGATTTAGAGTCTGTAGTTAGACATGTGGCTTCCAGCGGTACAATTCAGCAAGCTATGCCTGTCCCACTGAGGCAGGGGCTGTATTCTAAAGTACAATTTAACTGCAATACTTTTCTACTCTTTCCTTAGGCTGTCTGGAAAATTTGGCTTAGATAATGAAGCATTGGCCATTCTAAATGCCTCTTTTAATGTTGTACTAGGCATTTATTGCTGCCTATCAAATGACCCCACAATTTAGCAACT